GGATAGCCTGTTTCTTTCTTTCTTGAATTTTTTGGGGGGGAAATGCTACTCGACAATAATCTTCCCTCCATCCATCCTTTCTACTCCCCTCTTCCCTCTTCCCCCTCTCCCCCCTCTCCCCCCTCTCTCACTCTATCTCCCTCATATGCCTTCAACCCGTGTTTCATTTCTTTTTCATTTCTTTACATTCCTTTTCATTTCTTTTTTATTTTCATTCTCTTTTGTATCTCACACCCAAACAATAACGGTTACGTTTCTTATCCACGGCATCCCAATATCCAAATCGGCATTTGCCCGCTTGATCACGGAGTTCAGATCTACTCAGGTTTCTGAGTGCATACTCACACTAGAACTTTCGGATGAAATGCATCTGACTGCAATTACGACCAGACCTGGATGAATTTGACTGCAATCACGTCCAGCGCTTTACAGAAAAAAGTCCTAATGTGAATATGCCCTGATTGTATCAGAGATGCGTGCTTCCATATTTTTAGCAATATTGGTGCTTTTCCAAGATCAGGATTTTCCTTAAAAACAAGCACATACTAGTCCTCAAAAAAACAGAGACCATGCATTCCTCTCCCCTCCCGATCTCAGACAACATCTCCTCCTCCGCCTCCTCCCCCCCCCTCCCCTTTCCTGCCCCTCGTCGTTGCTGCTCCCCTGATCTGCGTCGACCATGCATTCCTTTTTGTAATTTTTTTATATTTTTGGGACCATACATTCCAGTCTTTCTCTACCTTCCGCCAATTCTTTTTTTTTTTTTTTTAAACTTTGTTTGGTATTAAAAGGAAAAGAACAGAGGCCGGGGGCCAAGTCCCACTAGCAGCGTTGAGCTACCTCAACGCCTGAATCTGGACGCTTTTGCGGAGATGTGCAGAAATGGTGTTGAGAGTTTCCTGAACTGCACGTCTCCACAAACACGTCCAGATTCAGGCGTTGAGATAGCTCAACGCTGCTAGTGGGACTTGGCCCCGGGGACCTCACAATTCAACCCGGATTGATACCCAAGATAGGATGCTGCGCCAATTCTTTTTCGAGTCGACGAGGGAAACCTTCATAAAAATGCTATGCTATATTAATTTATGTATTAATTTATTTCCTTTTTTATTATTTTTAATTAATTAATTAATTAATTACAAATTTTATTTATTTACTTCTTTATTTATTTATTTAAAGGCAATGGCCTTGATATTTCATCATCGATCTGATGAGAGGCTTGAGGTAATGCAGACTGATTTTGTTCTGTTCATTCATCTGAATGCATCTGGACTCGAACTCGGGTCTGTCTGCATTTCACAAAATAGTTCATCGGTGTGACAACTAAGCTATTGGTAGGCCCGTCGATTCCGCGTTCAATTTCAGGCAAAAAAAAGAAATTAATAAAATTATCTCAACTTTAACAAAATGATTGTTCACTGCTCCTTTTTTCTTTTTTCTTTTTTTCTTTTTTTTTGCTTGAACTCTTTAAGGCCGTGGTACCACTTTGGGTTAAAACTCCTAAAGTGGTCCCCGGTGTGTGAGGGTTCGCTCCATCTATTCGTGGGGAGCTGCACCTGGTCTGGAAACCGGGTCCCCCGACCCAAGGTGTACATCACGTCCCACTGTAGTATCACATGAGGTTAAAACTCTGACGCTGACCTTTTCTTTTTTCCTTTTTTCTTTTTTTCTTTTTTTTTTATTCTGTTCATCTGACAATATCTGGATTCCAACTTGGGTCTGTATTTCAACAGTGCATGGGTGTACCAACTGAGCTAGGCCCGTTGTTTCTTTTTTTCCCTGGCTCTGCTGGATAAAATTTATCATTTCTGTAAAATAAATCCAAATAATGGTTGTTCATAGCTGCGACTCCTCAGAGAGCCCCTTCCTCACTCTCCACTCCCCATTCTCCATTGCTCCCAGATCGGGACATGCCAGTCTGGACCCTTACCACTGCAGGTATTCTCCTCGAACTCTCTCCGCAGTCACCATGAACCTTCTCTCGAAAAATAGGAAAAGAAAAAACAAAAAAACAAAAAAAAAGAGCGGCGGCCCTCTCAACTCCACGCCACTTTGCCCTCCTCCTCCTATCGTTTGTTTCGGGAATGCCAGAGCCTCTCTTTTTCGGTTTTGTTTTCTTTTTTTTTTCGGGGGGGGGAGGGGGAGGGATAGCAAATCCTTGGTAGCCCCCCATCCCCAACTTATCCACACTCTCTTTTATCTTCCCCTTCTTGCATTGTTCTCCGATCGCAATACCCTCATCCCGATCGCGACTCCCTCCCTTCCGTCCACACACACAGACACCTTTCCTTCACCTATCCTCCTCATCAGCACACCTCCTTGCGGCTGCTCACATTTATTTCTTTACTTATTTATTATTTACCCTTTTTTCTTGACAGCCACCTCTCCTTCCCGCCTGCGCTGCTCCCCCTCCCATGTCCGCTTTTGACCCTTTCTTTCCGTCTTTTTTATTTTTTTAAGCCCGACTTTAACCGCATTCCGCACTCTGCGTATCGCCGCTGCTCCTTCAATCCATCTTGAACCGCGCTATCATCCTCCCCTTTCCTTCGATACTCGATTTCCTTTCCTTTCCTTTTCTCCCAGCAACCGTCTCTCTCTCTCTCTCTCTCTCTCTCTCTCTCTCTCTCTCTCTCTCTCTCTCTCTCTCT